GACTTAAGATTAACAGAAAGAAAGGTCTTTCTAAGGAAAAGATAGGTTTAAAAAAATTCATATTCAAAGAACTACAATATCTTAAAGTTTAAGGAAAACCAAAAATGAGAGCTACTTCTAAAACTAATGATAGCTGTATAAAAAGAAGCAACTTTTAGCAAGCCAGCTGTCCTCACTGTACATGTAAAATTACACCCCAGCTGCCCGCTGGATGACCCCACTACCAAAAAATGCTAGTAACGTAATTCACACTGAAATTCAGGAGCCAGCACCACTTGCAAAGTGCCCTGCATGTCGCCTCTACCTACCCCAGTATGTTCACCACGCCAAACTAACAGGTCATCTTCAGCAAAAGCATTTCAATCTACTGAAATATTCAACTTACAAATAAGGAAACTTTCCCAAATATATGCACCACACAACTAAATATTAGAACACTAGCATTAAATGATTTTTAACCTAACTACTTCATAAAAACACACCAAAACTGTTTCTATAAATTAGGTGCGTGTTTTCTATAAGATCAAAATTCCAGTAACTATGATTCTCATATGTTTGAAGATAACACAAAAGCTAAGTCAAGAAACCTGCATGCTAAAGAGCTACTTATTTAAAATTAAATCTGGGGTCAGCATGTGGCACAGCAGATTAAGCTGCCACTTAGGATCCCAGCACCCAGGCATCAGATACTGGAGTGCCAGTTCAAGTTCCAGCTGTCCCGTTTCCAATCCAGCTTCCTATGTGGCTGAGAAGGTGGCGGATGATGGCCAAAGTGCTTGGGCCCCTGCCGTTCATGTGGGAGACAGGATGGAGTTCCTGGCTCCTGAATGCAGCCTGGCCCCACCCTGGCTGTTGCAGCCATTGGAGAGTAAACCTACAAATGGAAGGTCCATCTCTGCCTATGTAAGCTGGCTTTACTAAGAAGGAATAATACAGCTTGTAGAGTTCTAGCAATATTTTGTATCTTGATAAGGGTGTTGGTACATTTGTATGTTCATTTGTTGAAAGTCTACTGAGCATATTTTTGACCTGTGTCTTTCTGCAAACCATATGAAAATATACATGCCAAACTTAATGACAGTTCAAGTTCAGATTTTGACTTTTTGATGGTGTGAAAGCAATGTGCACTCAGTAGACACTGCAATTGTATTTGAATTGTGATCCTTTCCCACACTAGTGACAGGCAGTAACACACTTCCTCTTGGTACTGAGCAGTAGCAGCAGCCACAGCTCCCAGTCAGCCAGTCACAAGGGGAAAGAACCAGCACCCTCCAGGGTTTACTGTGCTGCTGGCCTAGGAGGTTTGGCAGGCCAGACACATTAAATGCACTTTCAACTTAGAGTATTTCCAATGTATGACATGTTTATCCAGACATAATCCCATCATAGGTCATAGACAAAGCTTTATCTTCAAAAATCCTCAATCTAAAAATCTTTATTACTAACAGTACTGATACCCATCTCTGTTACCAAAGAAAGAGCCTTAAGGAAAAAAAACAGACAAGTAATTAAGTAATTTCACCAGAGAGCTATGAAGGACTATGCACTACAGAAAGGGTACTTGACGTAAGAGGAAGCCTAAATCCACTAAGAGTAGATTAAAGAATTTAAAGAAAAATCAACATAAATTAGTATAGCCACTATGGAAAACAGTATGGAAGGTCCTTTAAAAACTAGAAGTAGAACTGCCATTTGATCCATTAATCACACTACTAAGTATTTATCCAAAAGATGTGAAATCATCCACAACGTACCTACAACTATTAAGTTCACTGCAGAACTATTTACAATAGCCAAGATATGGACTCAACCAAGGTGTCCATCAACAGGTGAATGGATCAAGAAAATGCATTATATATTTACAATGTATTATTCAGCCATAAAAAATATATAAAATGCTGTTATTTGCAACAAAATGGATAGAACTGGAGAATAATCATGTTAAGTAAGCCAGACGCAGAAAGACAAATACTGCATGTTCTCCCTTACATATGAAAGCAGAAAAAAATAAACAAATCTGAACACAGAATAGTGATTACTATACTAGGGGTGGAGGGAATTTGTAACAAGTACCTAATCAGACTGAGATCAAAGAAAGCAGTTCCTAGTACTACACAGGACAGGGAGGTGACTGTAGTTCACTATAATCTCGTATGTATTTTACTAACAAATAAAGAAAAGAGTTCTAAGCTTAAATCATAAAGTAACATCAAAAGAGAAATGCTGATTAACCTAACAGGATCAGTGCATACTGTATATCTGTACTGAAATGTCACTGTAATTATAACTGAAAATATGTACATTAATAAAAAATTCAAAACAAAGAATTTAAAGGAGAGAGAACAGAAGGAAAAACTAGAGTCAAATCACAAATGAGGGACCAGTGCTGTAGCACAGCAGGTAAAGCCGCCACCTGCAGTGCCTACAACCCACATGAGCACTGGTTCAGGTGCCGGCTGTCCAATTCCTGGAGGAAGCTCCTGGCTTCAAATGGGCCCAGCTCCAACAGTTACAGCCATTTAGGTAGTGAAACCAGAGGATGAAGTGCTCTCTCAATCTCTCGCTCTGCCTGTCTCTAACAATGCCCTTCATATAAATAAACAAATATTTTTTAAAAATCGTGAATGAGTTCTATACATGCCTTGCTGCAACCTGAACTTTACCCTGAAAACAGTAACAAAGTACTGATGCTCTTTCCACTGGAAAGGACAAGACTTGATTTGAATTTGTCCTACAGAAGTCATTACGGTGCCTGACACGCTCACAACCCCACTCTGTGGGAAGATAGCTTATACAGTGCCCCATACTTTCCACGGTTATGATCCTGCCCTTCATCCGTATGTCCCCATAAACAGACAACTAAGTGGGCAGATGCTCAAGTACACAAGCTTGCTGGTAGCCAATGAGAACAAGAACCAACCCAAAGAAATTGTTTCTTGGGACTTGAAACCAGAAATTCCTAGGAAGAAGAAAGTTAGCACAAGGAGCCGAGGCTGAAGACAGCAGCCAGTAGGCAACAGGTTAATATAGGAGTGACACAGTGCTTACAAGGAGCAGAAAGTAGGAACTGAAGCCGTTAAGATGGGAGGAGTTGAGTGGAGAGAAAGAGCCCAACAGAAACAGTAGCTAAGACAATAACCCAGCACTACAGTGAAGTCTTGTCTTCAGCTGCTGCTAGCTCTATTAGGTTCCTTTTCTTCTTGAAATCCTGGGTTCCCTTGTGCATGTCTCCTTTCTTATTTTTAATTTAAAAAAAGATTATTTATTTGAAAGTCAGAGTCACACAGAGAGAGGCAGAGAGGGGAGGGGGGAGAGGGGAGGGGAACAGGAGGGGGGAGGGGGGAGGGAGGGAGGGGAAGGTTTTCCATCCACTGGTTCACTCCCCAGTTGGCCGCAAAGGCCGGAGCTAAGCTGATCCAAAGCCAGGAGCCAGGAGTTTCTTCCGGGTCTCCCATGCTGGTGCAGGGACCCAAGGACTTGGGCCATCCTCTACTGTTTTCCCAGGTCATAGCAGAGAGCTGGATCAGAAGTGGAGTAGCCGGAGCTTGAAGCAGCACCCATATGGGATGCCAGCACTGCAGGCAGCAGCTTTACCCGCTATGCCATAGCGCCAGCCCCTTCTTTCTTTATTTATTTATCTATCTATCTATCTATTTATTCATTAGAGAGGTAGAGCCCCAGGTAGGTCTTCCAACATCTGGTTTACTCCCCAAATGGTCACTACGGCTGGAGCTAAGCCAATCTGAAGTCAGGAGCCAGGAGCTTCTTCCCGGTCTCCCACGTGGGAGCAGGGGCCCAAGTACTCAGGCCATCTTCTGCTCTCCCAGGCCACTAGCAGAGAGCTGGATGGGAAGAGGAGCAGCTGAGACACTGACTGGCACCCATACGGGATGCCAGCGCCACAGACGGAGGCTTAGCCCACTGTGCCACAGCACTGGCCCATGCATGTCTTCTAACAAGCACTCCACCCCACCACTTACACTCACTTGAGAAGCACCTCCTAGCACACTGACTGCGGCAGCAACTCACTGAGTACACACCTGGCCGCAACAAAACAAGAGGCAAGACGACTACTTAGAAAGTATTAGAGAACAGTAGACATTTTGGGTTACAACTAGGCAGAGCTAACAAACAGTAATAAGAAATGATCTGAAACTTGGTAGAAAGAACATGCAAGATTGGGACCAGCGGATGTCAGCTGTGAGGTACAGACAGGAGCAGGCACTGGGGTGCAGCAGGTTAGAGGACACCCACATCCCTATCAGAGTGCCAGTTTGGTCCCAGCTACTCTGCTTCTGATCCAGCTTCCCACTTATGCATCATGGGAGGCAGGAGATGATGGGCCACGGGCTTGGGTCCTGCAACCCACATGGAACCCCTAGGAGACCCAGACTGAGTTCCAGGCTCCTGGCTTCCTTTGAAGGCAGCTCTGCCTGTTGCAGACATTTGGGAAGTGAACCAATGAACAGAAGATTTTGCTCTCTGTCACTCTGCCTTTCAAGAAGATGGAAATAAACCTGTTTTTTTTTTTTTTTTAAGAAAGATAATTTTGGTAAAAAAAAAATTTTAACCGAGCCATGGTTTGTTCATAATACGCATTTTCCAAGAAGTTTCTGAAGATTGCTCATATTGCTATTGAATGACCTTTAAGGTCTAATAATTACTAAATTTAAAAAGCAAGCTTTATGTAAAGTAGACAGTAGCTATAGTTGTGTGTGGTGTTTGCTCTTCAGAGCACAAATGTATAAGACAGTAAACGTGGGAGCATTCCAGGAGCCACACGTGAGACGCTGGAAAGAGTGGTACCCTGATTAGAGAGAGAAAATGGGTGGCGGGAGAAGCAGAAACTTTCTACTGTTCTGAACCTTTCGACTTTCACACTAAGTACGTTTAGTTACTACCTATAATTTCAATTACGACTGTCTCCCTCCTCTGCCACACACACACACACACACACACACACACACACACACAAAATGCAAAAAATCAGAAGTACTAACAAAGAACTCTTTATCCTTCACCGATGCCAACGTTCGCCGGCACTGATCGCCTGATGCGACAGCTCGTCTCCTTCGTGACAGCTCAGCTCCAACACGCACTTCGCCCACCACGCCGCCGCTACCGGGAAGCCCGCCACGCGCGCTGCGCGGCCGTGGAACCTGCTCCCGGCAGCAGAAACGCCTCATTCAGCCACCACCCTCAGGAAGTACGGGGAGCTGCGAACCTGAACTTCTCTACCAAATTCAAAAAACAGCAAATCCCCCCACCCACCCCCCACCCCCCAAAAAAATCGTGTCCTTCTTACTGCACCGCGCACAATCGCTCTAGCCATCCACTGTGCACTGGGACACTCGATCCAGCCCGAAGCCTCTGAAACGTCAGAGCTGGGTGCGCTCGCGCCGCGCCAAGCCCTAGGCTGGCAGCCGCCCCGCGACGCCCCGCGACGCCCCGCGACGCCCCGCGACGCCCTCCCGGCCTCCAGCCCGGAGCCCGCTGCCGGCCTCCGCCAACCGCCACCCCCATCCCGGCCCGGCGGGACGCGCTCCGCTCGCGCGCGACGTCTGCCCAGGGCTGCCCGGCCAGGCCCTTCCGAGGGGGCCGGCTCCACCGGGCCCACAGCGAGCGCCGCGCCCGGGCTGGCCGGGAGCCCGGGCGGAGAAGCCGCGGGGCCGCCCGCGAGCCCGAGGGCCCGCCCCGCGGCCGGGGGTCGCCGCCCCGGGCTCCGCAGCGGGGGATGCGCCGGCGCCCGGAGGCTCCGGGAGACGTCCCCGCGTCCCGCCAGAGCGCGGCGCGAGCCGGAGGGCCCTCGGGGACCCCGGCCGGGGGCGGCCCCGCGGGAGCCCCGCAGCGAGCCCGGGACGCGGCCGGGCGGCAGGGCCGCGGGCGCCGGGGCGGGTCTTACCTCGGCTCCGCCGCGGCGGCGGCCGCCTCAGCCCCCCGCTCGTCGACGGAAGCCGCCGCCCGCCGCGGCCCCCGGGGTCGAGCCGGAGGCGACGGCAGAGGCCGGGGCCGCCGAGGGCCGGACGGTTCCGGGAGGGTGGGCCCAGCCGCCTCAGGGTCCGGGAGAGCGGCCGCCGCGCATCCCCCGCCCTGTCAGACAGACCCCGCCCGGCTGGGCAGGCACATCCCCCGCCGCACCCGCCCAGACAGCGCGCGTGGACGCTGCCCCGACCGGGGCCGCCTCGGCCGCCGCCGCCCGCACGCCCCGGGCGCGGAACTCCGCAGTCGCAGCCAACGGCCGCGGCGTCACGCTCCGCTCGCCCCCCGGCCGCTCCGACCCGCGCGCCCCCGGCCCGGCGCACGCGGCCCCGCCCCGCCGACTCCCCGGCCGCAGGCGAGCAGGCGCGCGCGCACTCACCTCCCACGCCCCCTGCCGCCCGCCGGGCCGCCCCGCCCGGCCCCGCCCCCGCACGTGACGCCGCCGGAGCGTGAGGAGCGCGCTTGCGCCGGCACGCCCCCTTTGTCTCCGCCCCGGGCGGCCCCGCCCAGACTTTTTTGCTTCCTCACCTTACGGCAGAGCTGGGAACTGCGCCTTAGGTTCTGTCATGACAAGAAGGATTTGCAAATGCAGAGCAGAAAATGTCGGATCGACGACCGTAGAGTATTCTTTACAGCGAAACATTGAGAGCGCCTGTAACCATATTTGAGAGTGGTTAGACCCGAGGCAGGTAAGAAGCCGCCTCCCCGCTTGAGTCTGTCTGGGTTCGCCCCCGCAATGGGTTGCCTGGCCGCCTGGCCGCCGGCGCAGACTCTGGCGTACCCGTGCCCCCTCCTCATTCTGGCGCTGGTCTCAGCGCCGCCCCTCGCCCGCCCCCAGCGCCCGCCCCTGCCCCCCGAGTCCCCGCCCCGGACCTCCCTTTCCATTCATTCCTTAGACTTTCCGCCGAGCGGTCTTTTACTCCGTGGGTTCCGTGAAGTCAGGGCCGCTTCCGCTTTTTGGGACGCGAGGGGGGCCCCGCAGCGGCGGCACCAGGAAAGGCGAGGGGTGCCGGCCCTTGGTGACGAGCGTGGACGCGGGGAAGCCCCCTCGGGGTCCGCGCCCCAGCACCCGCAGGTGCACACTCCGCGTCGCCCTCTCACGCACCAGTCCAAAGCGTGAGAAAGACGGCCCCAGAACGTCTCAAAGATGAGAGTCTGAGGCGTGAAAGGTCCCAGGTGCAGAAAGGCGGGCGATTCCGAGGGTCAAGGAGGCCAGCGGATAGGATCGGAGCGCTCGTGGCACGTGGGCGGCTTTCAAAATAAATAAATAAACAGTGCTGCTGTCCTGCCCTGGGCCAGGTGAACGGACGCCGGCGGGTTTTCCAAGCTCCCTGGATGACTCCGATGCCAGGGAGCCGGCTCGGGGACACGGGGACGGGGGAGGGCGGAGGTCGTTGGTTGGGGCAGGAATGAGAAGCTGAGCAGAAGGCTGAGCCTCCCGGCGCCCTGCATGGCAGCCTTGATGAGGTGCACCTGGTGACTGCTCCGGCAGAGCGCTCCGGGCGGTCAAGGCCAGACCTCGAGATCCCGGGAGTGGGCACACACTGCGCCTCCCCGCTTCGGAATCTGTCTTCTCTTGGCTCCTCCGTCCCTGAAGACAGGAGGGAGATGTAACAAGGTTTCGAATACAGCCCTACGGGGATCTTTAAATGAGGAAGCATTGGCAGGCAGAAATGAGCTGTAGAAGGTAAAAACCCAAAGGAGTGCTTAGCCGCTGTTAACTAGGGTTAGTCCCAAAACCTGTCTCTCTGCCTCCAGATAAGAGACTGTCATGGTGTTGGCTTGGCTGTGGCTCGCACAGCGTGGGGTGGAGAGGTGGGGCAGAGATGGAGACGATAGCGTGGGTGGAGCAGATCGGGAGGAGCCTTGGAGTCCATGCTGCAAGAATTTAGATTATGCCCTATAAGCAATTAATAAGTATAGATTACAAATCTTCTTAACTTCGTTCGAACCAAGGCCCTCTCGTAGTCTGGCATAGGTACCCAATCTCAGAAAAATATCTCTCTCAGTGTATAACATAAAAGACATAGAACTAGAGAGGAAACCAATGTTTTTTTAAAGTTATTAAAATACTAAAATGAAAGTATGACATAGTTATATATGGACTTCTTTATCCATTAAGTAACACCTGGTAGCAGGTCTAGTTACATAATAAAAAGTAATTACATAACAAAGTGAAACTGAATATAAATTATGTTTTGCGATACCTGTAGTAACTTTAATGGCATATGAAAGTATCAGATTTCTGTTGGTGACACAGACATAGGGACTGCCAATACTTTCATAATTTACTGCCTCTAGTAATTGAAGAAATCGCTAACTTTGCACAAGAGAAAAATCAAGACGCAGCTTTTTCCCCAGAGCAAGTTCATGGACCCTGAAATAGCCGCATTCTGGTCCACAGCCTGATGGGTTTAGGCAAGAGTGTGGCAGACCAAATCTTTGGTTCAGAAAGGTGACAGAGGCTGGTGCGGCGGCTTAATAGGCTAATCCTCCGCCTGCGGTGCCGGCACCCCGGGTTCTAGTCCCAGTCAGGGCACCGGATTCTGTTCCGGTTGCCCCTCTTCCAGGCCAGCTCTCTGCTGTGGCCCGGGAAGGCAGTGGAGGATGGCCCAAGTCCTTGGGCCCTGCACCCCATGGGAGACCAGGAGAAGCACCTGGCTCCTGGCACAGTGCGCCGGCCACAGCTGCCAGGGTGGGGTGAACCAACGGAAAAAGGAAGACCTTTCTCTCTGTCTCTCTCTCTCACTGTCCACTCTACCTGTCAAAAAAAAAAAAAAAAAAAAGATGACAGAGCAATGTCCCCTGTTCCCTTCCGTCTCCAGTTGTGGCGGGAAGAGAGCTGGCTTTTTTTCCCCTGCTGTTCTTTATGGCTGGAGCAGCAAGAACCTGCCATGCTTGAATAGCCAGGGCGACGGGGGAAGTGACCTGTGGCTGTGTATGTGCTGGAGGGGGGGTCTGGTTAGGGAAAATGGAGGAACAGAGAAGTTTCCATTGGTGCAGATGTTGAGGTCCATGCATACAAGACTTAGCAGAAATTCAAGGAAACACGGATTATGAAAACTGCATGGATTTCTAATTTAACACTTCTAATTGATTTGAGAGACACAGAGAGATTTCCCATCCACTAGTTTACTCCCCTAAATGCCCACAACAGCCAAAGCCCGGCCAGGCAAAAACGTGGAGCCTGGAACTTAGTCCAGGTCTTGCACATCAATGGCAGGGTCCCAAGAACTGGAGCTGTCGCCTGCTGCTTCCCAGGGTGTGTGTGACAGGAAGCTGACATCAGGAGGAGAGTGAACCCAGACACTCACATCCCAAGAGGTGTCCTAACTGCTGTGCTCACCCACAACATAGATGTGTTTTAATTCTGTTTTCCATGAACTTCCCCAAAGTGCCCTCATGTGTAGGAGCAGTACTAAGAAATCAGGAAAAGGAGGTTTGGGCTGCTTTTGTGGGAGTCACTGGATAGCAAGCTGTTACTTGTCCTTCAGTGGAACAATGGGAAGATGTTAAAAGTTTTGCAGCAGAGCATTGTGATTAGCGTTCTGGTTGGAAAACTAATATAGAATAATGGATGGCTAAGAAGACAGGAATGGGCCGGCGCCGCGGCTCACTAGGCTAATCCTCCGCCTTGCGGCGCCGGCCCACCGGGTTCTAGTCCCGGTTGAGGCGCCGGATTCTGTCCCGGTTGCCCCTCTTCCAGGCCAGCTCTCTGCTGTGGCCAGGGAGTGCAGTGGAGGATGGCCCAGGTGCTTGGGCCCTGCACCCCATGGGAGACCAGGAAAAGCACCTGGCTCCTGGCTCCTGCCATCAGATCAGCGCGGTGCGCCGGCCGCAGCACGCCGGCCGCGGCGGCCATTGGAGGGTGAACCAACGGCAAAAGGAAGACCTTTCTCTCTGTCTCTCTCTCTCACTGTCCACTCTGCCTGTCAAAAAAAAAAAAGACAGGAATGAGTATACTACAGCAATAAGTAAATAGGGGCCAGCGCTTTGGCATAGTGGGTAAAGCCAGGAGCCAGGAGCTTCTTCCGGGGCTCTCATGCAGGTGCAGGGGCCCAAGGACTTGGGCCATCTTCCACTGCTTTCCCAGGCCAAATCAGAGAGCTGGATCAGAAGAGGAGCAACCAGGACTTAAACCAGCCTCCAGGTGGGATGCTGGCACTACAGGCAGCGGCTTCACTCGCTACACCGCAGCACCAGCCCCCTAAAAAAATATTTTTTAAAAAAGTAAACAAATTTCTCTTTAAAAAGAGATGAACATTGAGATATTCTCTAGTCTGCTGAATTACTTTTTTCTCTCCAGCATACTGAGCAGTCTAAGGAAACGTAGACTGAAATAATTACACACCTTTCAAGGATACACATCTCAGGGTGGGAATCAATTAGCTTTTTATGTGGGCAAGAAGCTGACTCTTTTGTGTAGTGATACTGTCAGTACACGGGTACCTTACAAAGTTTGTGAAATAATGGGATTAGATTAGCGATAGGTGTCTTGTGCAGTAGGTTAAGCTGCTGCCTGCAACGCCCACATCCCCCCTCCTGCTGCTGCACCTTGAGAAGCAGCGTATGGTGGCTCCAGTGTCCACATGGGACTCCCCACGGAGTCTTGGGCTCCTGGCTTCGACCTGGCCCAGTCCTGTCCATTACAGGCATTTGGGGAGTAAACCAGCAAATGAAAGATCTCTTTCTCTCTTCATCACTCTGCCTTTCACATAGATGAAAAATCTTATTAAGAAAAATAAATGGGGCCAGCGCTGTGGTGCAGCAGGTTAAAGCCCTGGCCTAAAGTGCTGGCATCCCATATGGGCGCTGGTTCTAGTCCCTGCTGCTCCTCTTCCAATCCAGCTCTCTGCTGTGGCCTGGGATAGCAGTAGAAGATGGCCCAAGTCCTTGGGCCCCTGCACCCACTTGGGAGACCTGGAAGGGGCTCCTGGCTCCTGGCCTCGGATCAGCACAGCTCAGGCTGTTGTAGCCATCTGGGGAGTGAACCAGCCGATGGAAGACCTCTCTCTCTATCTCTACCTCTCTCTGTAACTCTGTCTTTCAAATAAATAAAATAAATCTTAAAAAAAAAATAGACATTTATTTTAAAGGCAGGGCAACAGAGAGAGACAGAGATTGCACATTCGCTGGTTCACTCACCAAACAGCCTCAACAGCCAGGGCTGGTCCAGGCCAAAAGTAGGAGCCAGACATTCCAGCCTCATCTCCCCATGGGTGGCAGAGACCCAAGTATTTGAGCCACCTTCTGCTGCTCTTCCAGTCACATCAGCAGGAAGCTGGATCAGAAGCAGAGCAGCCGGGACCCAAACTGGCAGTCCTATATGGGATGTCCCCATTGCAAGCAGTGGCTTAACCTGCTGCACCACAGCACTGGCCCCAATAAACATTTTTTTTTTTAAAGTTTATTTTGCTGCAAAATAAAAACTTGGCATCCACACATAGTTTCTTCATAATATACATTTTCTATCATAAACTAAAGACTCCCCGTACTTCTGATAAAGCATTGGCTTTATCCCACTTATGGTTTCACAGATGTTGTTAAGGCCTTCTTTGCCAATCCCTTAAAACTGTTGAGTGAGTCAAACTCATCATCAAACAAAGGTGAGCCACCTCCAATACTGATCAATAGCAGACTATATAAAAATGTATTGTTCTAATCAAAGCTAGAATCCAGATTATGTGCTTTTTACACAGATCATTGAAAAATTTAATTTGGTGTTTGTATTACTAATCCAAATGAATGATACACAGTTATTGGACATCCAGAACCAATTCTCCCCTCGCTGCCTTCCTCACCAAGACTGTCCTGTGCTAGCTTTCTGTCCAGCAGACAGCTAGCGTAGTTCGATGCAGACGGAAAACTCGGGTTCATGCAGAGCTCCAGCTCCACTGTGTGTCCCTTTCTACAGGCAAGGGGGAGCAGGAGGATCTGAAAACAGGGGCGGCAGGGCTTTCATTACTTACAGGAAATCTCTAAGAGTTCCCTTCTCTGGCTTCAGGTCAGCGGCTCCCTCTTCCACAGTTATCTTTTAAGAAGCTCTAGGTCACAGTACTGACACCAGAGAAATCTGTCTCAGTTATATCTGTTTTCTAGTGTTTTCATTTTTCTCATTCATTTGAAAGGCAGAGCGTAGACAGAGATCGTCCATCTGCTGCTTTGCTCCCCAAATGTCTGCAACAGCAGGGGCTGGGCCAGGCCATAGCCGGGAGCCTGGAACTCCCTCTGGGTTTCCCATGTGGGTAACAGGGACCCAACTACTGCGCCATCACCTACGGCCTCCTGAGATGTGTCTGCAGGAAGCTGAGTCGGAGGCAGAGCAGCGAGGCTCTGTGCAGGCGTCCTGAGCAGCGGCCTGACCTGCTGCACCACAGCCCCCACTCTGCAGCGGCTGTTTGAGCGTCTGTGTGACAGGTTCAAACCCTGGGCCTGCCCTCTCTGATGCCTGAACAAAAGCTCTCAGTGATGTGGTCCGTTAAATCCCTGGGACAGGAGCTTAAGGATTTCCAACCTTAGTTGGCTCTGATTCTCAGTGCTGTGGTCACAGCAGCCAGGCACTTCACATCAGCAACTGAAACAGTTGTTGCTTGAAATGTTCGTCCTCCTCTAAGATCATGTAATTCAGATTTGATCATTAACTCGAAAGTATTCCTTTTTGTCCCTGAGATTTATTTATTTATATAGCAGAGCAACAGGGAGAGGGAAAGAGAAAGGTATCTTTTGTCCACTGGTTCGCTTTCCATGTGGCTGCCAAAGCCAGAAGCCAGGCACTGCGTCCTAGTCTGCCACTGGGTGTTAGGTGCCCATGCTCCGCTGCCTCCCAGTGTATTAGAAGGAAGCCTGGTCAGAAGCTGAGTAGCCAGGACTCATTGCAATATGGGATTGCAGGTGTCCCAAGCGACAGCTTTACCCACTGCACCACAATGCCAGTCCCAAAACAGTACTCTTGTGAATTTACATTTAAATGCACATAGCTGTGGTGGGTATTGTGGTCGTGGTGCAACAGGTTAAACCACTGCCCACGATGCCCACGTCCCATGTCACAGGGTCCTGTTTGAATCCTGGATGCTGTGCTTCTGAACCGGCTCCGTGCTAATTCACTTGAGAAACAGAGGATGACGGCCCAAGTACTTGAGTTCCTGCCACCCATGTGGGAGACCTGGATGGAGTTCCTGAGTCCTGGCTTCAGTCTGATGTGGCCCGGGCTGTTATTAGCATTTGGGGAGTGAACCAGTGGATGAAAGGTCTCTCACTCTAACTTCCAAATAAATAAATAAATATTAGAAGACAAATTGCCAAGGCAGAAAGCTGTATGTCCCACAGACCCTGTTTTCCTGTCATCAAATTAAGTAAAGCATAAACTTACTCATTTATTAGATACTTTTTTACCTCTTCCTGTGTGCCAGGCACAATTTTGAAACCTATTAGTTAACTATTTGTGATGACAGTTTATCTCTCAACCATCTTCTAGGCTTTGAAATCGACAGAGCAAGTAAGAATAAAAGATGGTGGCTTTTTCAGATCACTTCAAACAGTGTGGTTGCGTGTAACCATCATGGACTACCGAACAGAGTGAAATTGATCTCATCAGGTGGGTTATGTCTATAGCTTGGCCATACTTTGTGACTGTATGTACTAAAATAAAATTCTGCCCACCCCCTTATGAAATATCATCTCACTGAGACCTTACTAATTCGAATGGCCTCCCTCCACACAGCCCTCAGTTCTAATCATTTCAGAGTTTCCAACTGTGTAAAGTCCTTTCTCATAAAATGAAAGACATTTCCAGAAAAAAAAATCAGTACATGAAAAATGTGCTATATGCCAAGTTTATAAGCAAACAACTGATGCCATTGTACAAAGAAGCCTTGAAGAAAAATTGGTAGAGTGGGAATCAAAATTTTCATGGCCAGTGGCGTCCTAGCCACTGACAGCCCAGCCCCCTGGCAGAGCAGTGGTGGAGACCCTTGGTGTTCCAGGAAACCCTGAGGGCTACCTGGGCCACCTCCCTGCCCCGAGCAGGACCAAGTGGGATCTGTGGCGGTCGAGGTGCCAAGCACATCACACCACTTTGTCCACTTTGAGAGCTCAATTCCTCTATTTGTTTTTTTTATTTTTTTTTTTTATTTTTTTATTTTTTATTTTTTTGACAGGCAGAGTGGACAGTGAGAGAGAGAGAGAGAAAGGTCTTCCTTTGCCGTTGGTTCACCCTCCAATGGCCGCCGCGGCCGGCGCGCTGCGGCCGGCGCACCGCGCTGATCCGATGGCAGGAGCCAGGAGTCAGGTGCTTTTCCTGGTCTCCCATGGGGTGCAGGGCCCAAGCACCTGGGCCATCCTCCACTGCACTCCCTGGCCACAGCAGAGGGCTGGCCTGGAAGAGGGGCAACCGGGACAGAATCCGGCGCCCCGACCGGGACTAGAACCCGGTGTGCCGGCGCCGCTAGGCGGAGGATTAGCCTAGTGAGCCGCGGCGCCGGCCTCAATTCCTCTATTTGTAAAATACTGATATTAGAGGAAGGCTCTTTAAACTTGTAAATTGTAAAATTAAGAACATTTCCTATGTTTAGAACAATTTTGTGTTTTTAGGAGTTTTTGTAAAATATTTCACTTCCATAATTTGCTCCACAAAAACAAGCATTTATTAATATATACTTTACCATCCACACAAAAATTAATACAGCTCATCAGGCAAACTGTTCAAGGGTAAGATCTAATCTCTGCCCAAAACAGTTCTCTAAATCCTGATGACAACTTTTATATTATTCACAGTTTACACATTACAAGCATTCCCAGTAGTTTATTCCTAGCGTGAAAAGGAAACACTTAATCGGGGGAAACTGAACCTGAGAACACAGCCTTGGACTTCCTTCCTGAAAGCACTCCTGCTTCTGTGCTGTGAAACGGAGCTCGGGCTCGGGTGTGATCCCTGAGAAAGGCAGGTGGACTCACACCAGCAGCTGGACACCATCTTCTAGTTTTACTGGACACTAAAGTATACTGAATTCTTCATGTTTGGTGGTTTATGAAAAAGAGATTAGACCTACTCTGTTATTCCTAGAGGGCAGAAGTAAGATATGTAAGCTAAAGACATATATATTTTAAGTCAGTATAAAAGTGAGAGGTGCTACCTCTTATTTTTCCCAACATGGAAACATTTTTACTGGCTGTGTGTTCATTATAAAAAGAAAGGGCAGGGAGGCAACACTGTGGTGTAGTAGTTAAGCCTCCACCTCGATGGACTTCAGATTGGTGCAGCTCCGGCCATTGCAGCCATCTGGGGAGTGAATCAGCCGATGGAAGACCTTTCTCTCTGTCTCTCCCTCTCTCTGTAACTCTGTCTTTTAAATAAATAAAATAAATCTTAAAAAAAATTAGATTGTCTTTGGGTTATTGAGTTGTGAGGTTTTGGTTTTTGTTTGTTTTTTTAGGATTTACGTATTTATTCGAATGGCAGAGTTACAGAGAGCAGAGGCAGAACAAGGTCTTCATCCGCTGGTTCACTCTCCAAATGGTCGCTACAGCCAAAGCTGGGCCAATCCAAAACCAGGAGCCAGGAGCTTCTTCCCAGTCTCCCGTGCAGGTGCAGGGGCCCAATGGCTTGGGCCATCCTCCGCTGCTTTCGTATTGCTTTCAGAAGTGGAGCAGCCGGGGTTCAAACCGGCGCCCATAAGGGATGCCAGTGCCGCAGGCCAGGGTTTTAACCCACTATGCCACAGCGCCAACCCCAACAAAACATTATTAATCCTATTAAAAATGTTGTTGCATATCATTGATTATTTTGGAGTCCTTTTATCATACACAAATTTTTACATAACTGTCCTTTTCACAGTATATCATAAACATTTTCTGTGTCAGTAAGTTTACATTTAATGACTGAGTGTCATTCCATTGTGTGAAAACTCTGTTATTTAAATTTACTAGTTTTTTTTTTTTTTTTTTTAACTCCAGGGTGTTACCAGTTTTTCTGTAACAGGTATTGCTGTGGTGAGCATCCTTGTTAAGTTTTTGCACACATCTTTAGTGTTTCCCTTAAGATAAGTTTCTGGAAGTGTAACCCCTAAATATGTACATCTCTTTTTTTTTTATGATTTATTAGAGAGGCAGAGTTACAGACAGGGAGTGACAGAGAGAGTGGTCTTCCATGCTGGTTCACTCTCCAGATGGCTGCAATGGCAGAGCTGAGCCCATCCAAAGCCAGGAGCCAGGAGCTTCTTCCAGGTCTCCCACTTGGGTGCAGGGGCCCAAGCACTTGAGCCATCCCTTGCTTTCCCAGGCCACAGCAGAGGGAGCTGGAGGGGAAGTGGAGCAGTCAGAACTCAAACCAGCGCACCTATGGGCTGCCCATGTCACAGGCAGCAGCTTAACCCGTTGAGGTACAACAGTAGCGGTTAACTTAAGCTTTAATTAAAACTAAATTCTCAGTTCCTCCAGCATATTGCAAGTACTGCACAGCCACGTGTGCCTGAGGCCACTGTACTGAGCACGGCAGGGCACAAGCATTTCCGTCCTTAGGGAAAGTCCCACTGGACAAGGGCTGTAGGAACATAGTGTCCGGTGGACCACACCAAAAATACTGGGATAATCCATAGCTTCTCATCTTCACTTGTCATGGCGCCATCACCAGATTTAAACGTAATAGTGCATGAATTTGTTTGTGCTGTTCTGCTGACCTATCTGTCCCTCAGCTCCAGTGCCACGCAGCTAGCTGTGAGTCAGGCCTTCTCCCTGGGAAGAGGAATGAAGAATTCTTCCGTGGAGTAGGAGGTTACACTGGATGGGACAGTGAGAGCCCTGATGCTGCGGAGACTTGAGTTAGGGTGTCTCTGCAGAACCTGATTTATGTTGAGGTCCACACCCCTTTCTTCTGCAGTTGTTTCTTGAGTACCTGCTGACAAGCCCTGCTTGGGCCCTGTGGTCCGCATGGCAAACAAGCCAGTCAAGGCCCTTCATTCTCTTGTTTTCACAGAGCTTACGTTTTTGCAAGGGAGGCAGGGCAGAGGGCAGAGGGAGAAAGTTAACCAGCAAGCACATAAATGAAATTATCAGTCATGAGTGCTATGCAAAAAGCTGAAACTAGAGCGATACGAAGTGACTAAGTGGCCTATATTTTGGCCAGTCAGAGGGGACTTGTGCAGAGAAGTGGCGTTTCAACAGACCTCCCCAGGGAGGATCCAGGCAGAGCCAGTCACCAGCCATCAGGAGGAAAAGCATGGCACGCGAGACCATGAAAGGAGAGTCTGCAGGGCCAGCGCTGTGGCACAGCAGGTTAAAGCCCAGGCCTGCAGCACCGGCACCCCATGGGGATGCAGGTTGGAGTCCCGGCTGCTCCACTTGCAATCTAGCTCTCTGCTAGTGTGCCTGGGAAGGCAGCAGAGGGTGGCCCAAGTACTTGGACCCCTGCACCCACATGGCTTAAATATTTTAATCAATAACAACGTATTTTACTTGTTAAAATAGTCCCAGTCATTGCAGCCATTTGGGGAATAACCAGCAGATGGAAAACCTCTCTCTCTGTCTCTCCCTCTCTCTCTAACTCTGCTTTTCAAATAAATAAAACAAATCTTAAAAAAAAAGAAAAGTGTGGCTGGGACGTGGTGGACAAGGGGGAAAGTCAAAGAGAGAAGTGGGACTGCAGAAGGAGCTGGAGCCGTGTTAGGTAGGGCGTTGTACCTGCAGGAGGATTGCTTCCCCTCCCACCCCGCCACATGGTAGGGCGTTGTACCTGCAGGAGGATTGCTTCCCCTCCCACCCCGCCACATGGTAGGGCGTTGTACCTGCAGGAGGATTCCCCCCCCCCCCCCCGTATGGTAGCTGCTAGAGGGTTTTAAGCAGGAGACAGGCATGACCTCACAGAGCTTTAACCCTGACCTTGTGGCTGCGTGGAGAATACAGTGGAGGAGTCAGCAATGAATGTGAGGAGGCTTGTTAGGCAGAGGAAGCAGACATTGATTGGACTGAGGGCGGAGTGGTGAGGAGGAGAAGCGCCGGACGTACCCCGAACACTGCGGCTGTACAATCAGGAGGGCTTGTTATCCACTGGCTGGGAGACAGGAGAGAAAAGAAACAGAAACCCCTGGTGCGATGTGTCTGCACAAGCACCCGGTTCACTTTCCAACCTGATAGCACAGGCAGAACTGGCACAAATAAGCACCCATGTATCCAAGTCGGTAGATTCGCTCTAGTAAATGTCTTCTGTGCACTTCTAATCCACCAAAGCACACGTGTGTGCTCATGCCGCCTTTAGCTATTTGGGAGTCAGGTTCCTCAGACTTGGGGGGTCCGGGAGGGGCTGTGGATGGTGATTGGACCACAGGCCAGAGTACCTGACCCAGCAGAGCAGAGTGGGCAGAGCTGAGAAAGCTGCCTGTCAGTGGGAGAGATCTGTGGGATCGCACTCTGTTTTAATTCATGCTCATTTTGGATTTTGTGCTGCAGCATGTGGTGTTTAGGTTAATAAGTGAAATACTTTGTTACTGACTGAAATGTTTAGGTCAGGAGACAAGCTTCCCCAGCAGCTGGTGAGGGGAAGCTCCAGGGAGAAGCACTGTGACTGGAGGGGCCTGCTCTGAGTCTGTCTGTGCCGGGACTCCT